AATGTGGATAGCATATGGCAACTGCAACATATACTTTCGCATGAATTGAGGTAGAATTGGTCGCTACAAAACCTACTTACAGGGGCTCATTATGAGTATTAGTATAGAACATAATAATGAAAGGAGTGCATATAGAGCCCCAAAAGAACGTGTATTGGATGTGCCCTGTTGACATCTATATGATGCAGAAACAATGGAGGTATTCCAACCATAACTGAGCTATAGAGGCCACCAGGGAGCAACCCCTCCTGGTGCCCCTACCTGCCATCTAACCTGCCTACCCAATTGGGACAGGTGGCGATCAAAAAAGCGCCCTAGAGATAAGAGATTACAGTACATGCCTGATCTGGCCAGGGAGATAAGCCTGCAGTGATCAAAAAAGCGCCATAGAGATAAGAGATTAAGGTACCTGCCTGATTAGGCCAATGAGATAAGAAAATGCCTGTTATCTACAGTTGATAACAGCCCTGCAGCCATATCTGCGCTTTCCTGCCTTATTAGGGAGGTAGATTCAAACTCAGACCCCAAATAAGCGAAGAACAGGGCCTGTTAGAGTAGTACCCTAACAACCTAACTATGATGCAACGCATGTTCGGAACGTATCCGGGGTTTGATGCATCAGCGTTACAACAGTAGGTGCGCCTCGCACCCCGCCTCGCACCCCGCCTCTCGCGCCTCCCGCCTCGCACCCCGCCTCTCGCGCCTCGCGCCTCGCACCCCGCCTCTCGCGCCTCGCGCCTCGCACCCCGCCTCTCGCGCCTCGCGCCCCGCTCCCCACGCCCCACTCCTCACGCTTGGCATCCCCCTGGCTCTCCGCGCCTCGCGCACCACGCCTCGCGCACCACGCCTCGCGCACCACGCCTCGCGCTTCTGTCACCGCTTCCCGCCTCTCGTGCCCCGCCCCAAGCCATAGCGCGGGACAAGCACGCGACAAGCCACGGCACGCGACAGGTCACGGCACGCGACAGGCCACGGCACGTGACGAGTTACGGCACGCGACAGGTCACGGCATGTGACGGGTTACGGTGACGAGCGCTAGCGCTCGCCAGCCGTCCTCCGACGTCCTCGACCTTCAACTGCCACCTCCCACCATCTGCACCCACCTCTCTCACACATTACCACTGCCAGCAGCGCTATGACCATCCCACGTCGCTACTTCAAGGTCAGGCCCCACGTTTGCGTGCTTATCATCGACGACTAACGTTCGTTTTCCTCAGATCTTGCAGGCGCTCACAGCGTCGGCCGCTAGTGGCCAGCGAACGGTCCGCTGGGGAGAATTTCACGGCGTACGTGCCTTCCACGCGGTCCAGAAGCGATATTAACTCCATTTTCAGTTGTTCAAGACCTATTTTGAGTTCGATGTGCAGCGCGGCGGCAACAGAAAGCACGTCTTCACGCCGCCCATCGACGGCGCCAACGGCCGCTGGGCTTTCGGGCCCAAAAAATTCGTCGCTTACAAGGTATGTGATTCGTTCCATACACGTTATGATACCTAATTCGTTACTTCTAGCCGCAAGACAAGGAGTTCTCGCCGCAGGACATGGCTGAGTGAGTCACTGCCTTACGCTTGCGTTCATCGCTAACTACTTTCATTCGTCACAGCCTTAGGAAGACCCTGAAGGAAGCCTACGGCTGGGGCACCGAGACCTTCTCCCGCCGCTAGACTCAGCCGGTAATCCGTACCGTAGTATACTTTTGTATCGGTGTTGGTGTGCTTAGTCCATACAAATCGTGCTTCCTTTTAGTAGTGTGCAATCATTTACTAGTTACCTCGAATAACGTACATAGATCCAACCTGCAGTTTAGTCCACACTTCTCGTTCGCTTCTCGTTTCTCCTTTGCCCACCCTTCTTGTTTCTTTTTCTCTTTTCCTGCAATTATCCGCCTCGCGCTGTTCTAACACTTCTCTCCCCTCCTAGCGCACACCGCCTGACGCCTCGCGCCCTGGCCCGCCCGGCCTGTTACCTCCTGCCATGTGCTAGTTTCTCTCCCCTCGCGCAATATCCGCTACGCCCATCTCCGCGCCCACCTCGTGTCTCGCGCCCTCGCCGCGCCCCGCCTCTCGCTCCTCTCTCCTCGCTCTTCACTCCTCTCTCCTCGCTCTTCGCTCCTCTCTCCTCGCTCTTCGCTCCTCTCTCCTCGCTCTTCGCTCCTCTCTCCTCGCTCTTCGCTCCTCTCTCCTCGCTCTTCGCTCCTCTCTCCTCGCTCCTCGCTCTCGCTCTCGCGCCGCACCTCCCCTCCCCGCGCTTCGCGCACCGCGCAACCCGCGGCAGTCTCCCGACCTCAAGCCTTACGCCCGCCTCGCCTCGCCTCGCGACTTCCTCACACCTCGAGCCCTCCGTTATCCGCCTCCTATCTCGCGCCTTTCGCCTCGCCGCCCCGCGTTTTTGTCCACTGCTCGCACCTCCGTCGTCGCACCTCCGTATTCGTGCCTCAAACTACGCGCATCGGACCGTGGACTTTGCGCCCGGATTTTGCGCATCTCGCGTCTCGCATCTCGCGCTTGTCTTCCCTCCTCGGACTTGGTGCCTCCGTCTTCGCGCCTTGGACTTCGCAACTCGGCTTTCTCCTGTCTGGTGTCCCGTGTCTCGCACCCTGCGCGCGCCTTAGTCTACGATTTACGCCATGTATCAGCTCTTACCGCGCCTGTGAGCATCTTATTCACACAGTTATCAATATATATCTAGTTTGACAACTCCGAGTTCAAGATGTGTTCAAAATGATTTTGGGCGAACCATGATCTTATGCCCACGGTGCCGCCCACTCGCGTGTTTCCCAGCCTCGCGCCGCCGACGCTGTAGCCCGCCCACTCGCGTCTTTAGCATCGCGCTGCCGCCTGCGCGCGCCTGCATTCTAGGCCTGCACTGCCGGCGCCCGAGCTCTCCTACGCTCGTCTAGCAAACGCTGTGGCCGCGCGTTACGGATGTAGCTCGCGAGCACGCTGGCTTTCCTGGCCGCGAAAGAAGTGTAGAATATATATTTCCGTAGATAAACAAATACATGAAACATCTCGCTTTGCACGACCCACGCGACTGTAAGCTGGCCGGATATCGAGTATTGACCGAGGGAAAACTTTGGACGCTTGGAGGAGCACGCCTACGCAGTAAATCTACCAATGCACCGGCATTCAGTGCCAGCGCCTATCCGACGCTGCGCACCGAATGCGGATGTGACAGACACTGCGTGACCATGGTGACTGAGACCACGCCAGCTGTCGCCAACGTGCTGGCCTTCTTCCTCAGGCCTCTACCTGAGATGGCCACGACACAAGACCACCACCCGACTGTGTGTCGGGTGCTGTTCGGAACGACTATGAGTCGCCGAGCAGCTGGATAAGGACCGACCAAGGGGTCCTCTACCGAGCCAGGGCCCTCAACCCCAGGAAGACGGCGTCAAAGCAAATTGAACGAAGAGCAGACAATTGCAACCCAATGTGAAACCACGTCCCTGGGACGTAGTCTTGCCCGGCAGGAAGTGCGGCTGTTATGAACGGGCTATGCCTATCTTGTGCGCACGGGCGATCTGGTACAAGTGTGTTCGCCACTATGGGGGCACACGTTATAGGACTGGACTGGCGACTCGTATGCGCCGAGAGGCTCGGCGAGCGAGCCGCGCATCGAGGGCCATCGACCGTAACAAACCGGCGCGGGCCTCCACGAAGGACGGCTGCCAGAAATTCGTCCTAAGACCGAGACCGGCCACCGGGCGCATGTGTCGTGTTGGTGCCTTCGAAACTCTTCGTCGCTCGCCACGTCGACCAAACCTCTCTCTTTCTTTCCGCTCTTCTCAGACATGGCAGACGATCGAGTCAAGGATATCGTGGAGCGCTTCCTGCGAGGAGTGCGGTGGACTCGATACCTCTACGCCTGCAATAATCACAACCTCCACGTCGTGCGCCCGAGCTACGGTAGCACCACATGGACTCACGTGGGGAACCTGTACGAGATCGTGAGGCCCTTCATTATGACGACGCAGGAGTGTCCAGCTGACGACAGCACAGTGTTACGCCAAGCCAAAGTGTGATAATCACCAGCGGCCTCTCGACCGACAGATGTCGCTGGTCAACCGTCGGGCGATGTTGCAGGAAATCATCGACCTGCAACCAGGTCCATACGGGTCTGAAATCAAGCGAGCGGAAGCCATCCTCATGCGTGGCGTGCTCGAGGGTGAAATCGAAGCCGAAGTCCAGCGGGAGATCTTGTTGAAGCGGCGGGACGATGGGGATAGTAGCGACCTGGCGGGGGAAGGGGGAGGCCCAAGTAGCGAGTCGGACGGCGGTGGGAGAAGGCCCAGGGCCCAACCAGTGCAAGGGAGCTCGAGCGTCGCGATCTCCAGCGGTGCGTCCAGCCGTGCCTCCAGCCGTGCCTCCAGCGGTGCGTCCAGCGGTGCGTCCAGCGGTGCGTCCAACGGCGCCTCAAGCGGCCGTAGCGACGGGTCCGCTCGAGGTGCGGTAGGCAGGCCCACTAACCCGACCACGGAAGTGATTGTCTATGTCTACGTGCCGGTGAGTCAAAGAACTGGATTTTCTGAACAACGGGCTGATCGCCCAGCGCCATCTTAGGGTCGTCACCAGCCTCTGGTGATCGTGGCGAATGGCACACCGCGAAACAAGCTGATCGAGTTCACCTTCAGTCAACCGAAGGTGAACGACGCCCTTGGAATCAACGGGGCGAGCCGGCAGAAGCCGACGTACAAGTTCTGGACCAGATCGATCAGCGACTGGTCTGACTTCCCCAAAGCCCACCACCCCCTATTCCTCGCGCCCGGGGAGCGTGTTCTGTACCGCGACCTCTACGTGGAGAACACCCCGAACCTCGCCAACTACATCGCCCAACTCCTGCCTTGCGACCGCGAGCGTGCAGCCCGGCCTCTGCTGGCGCAACCGCCTGTCCCCGGCCTGCCCCCGCCCCCGGAGCCGATGAAAGGTGGACGCAGCGCTGTGTCGCGGGCGAACGAGCTTGAAGCGGGACCGATTGAGAGGGAGAGCTTCCCGACCATGCTGTCGGAGGCCGAGATGGAGGACATCGGGCGGGCGATGGAGGAGGCAGAGGCAAGTTCGGTGGCCAAGGGTAAAAAACGGGCGGCCGCGAGTAGGGATGGTGAGCGGAAACAGCGGCGCAAGACGGGAGGTGAGGGTGGGGTTATAGACCTGACGTTGGACGATGCGACAACGGCGCGGTCGGCGAAGAGATCGGGGCCGCTCATCGACCTGACGCTTGACGAGAAAGACAGCGGCGGTCCGTCGAAGAAGGGGAAATCGGGAGCATCGAGGTCTAAGGCATTGCCCGCCGATGCGGACGTGATAGAACTCTCGGACTGACGGGTGGACGGTTGCAATCGGGCGATGGGGTACGTATATACCTATGTTTGACGTATATGGTCAATCGTGCGAGTGAATATATCGTGCCACGGAAGGGTCATAGGTAATGAAAAGATGGGAGGGTCTTCGGGCGATAACGGAGGGCAGCCGGGAGGTACCTGGGGGTCCAACGGGCCAGCAGCACCGGCCAAGAAGCGCCCAAATTGCTAGCAACACACCATCAACGCGCGAGCCTCTCCTGCCTCTCACCGCTGCCCACCCTCTATCGATCGTACCCGGCCATCGAACGACCACCTTACAGCCTTTTGTCCTGCCGGCCATGTTCCGAACCCTGAGAAGACTGCCGGGCTCGGCGAAGAGAACGAAAGACTTTGATCTGCCATGCGCTAAAGACTCGGCTTACGAGGTACGGGCGGGCAGGATCGTGCACCTGACTGAGCAGACTCTCGAATTCGCGGATGACGCACCATCCCCCAAGCGGCGCCGTCAAGAGGAGGACACCCGAGACGAAGAGGTTCCCACCGTGAATGAACCAATGGAAGAACACGGGGAGGAAGTCACGGGGGGTTCGCCTGCGGAGCCAAAAGGGTGCGACCCCAAAAAGAAAGTGCGTCCGGGATGGCGATACAGTTCTAGGTTGGATCTGACTATTACAGGACAGTGGACACCATCGAGTCGAATGGACGAGTTCAAGCCCCACCTGGAGACGATATTATCAGACATGCTGTGGAAAGATCACGACGCACAAATCCCAGGTCCTTGCACCACAGCGGGGTGTGCGGAACAGGCCACCACACGATGTCGGGAATGTCGCGGAAAGGAGCCAATGTGCACTGCCTGGGCGGTACGTGGACACCGGAATTTACCCTTTCATTGGTTGGACGTCTGGAATGGCTCGTATTTCGACCGCCACGACCTCTCTGACTATGGATATGAGCTATTCCTGGGGCATAACGGAAGTCCATGCCCGAACATAGACTATCGGGACAACGCAACCCGCTTGGTTGTGGTGCACGACAACGGCATTCACAACTGTCAGCTGCGCTACTGCTTCTGCGGCGGAGGAATGATGAAGCTATCGCAATTGATCAGAGCCGATCTATTCCCTGCCTCATTGGCGCGAATCGAGACAGCGTTCACGTGCGAAGTGCTGGAACGGTTCCATCTGGACTACGACATATCTAAGCGGAGCTCGCAAGACTTTGTGCGAGTCCTGAGTCAGCTCAGCGCTCGAGACGCGATTACAGGGGAGGTGAAGGTGAGCTTTTACTATAAACATGAGACCATCCGAGAGTTGCTGATCGTCGTGCCAGGACCGTTATCGCGGCTTCATGTTCGCGGCGAGGATATACAGGTATCTGACGATGGTCAAGCGATCTGGGCGCAAACATGGCGTGGTGGTGCCGGGAAGAAGGGCGGAAGACATCACGGTGCCGTGCTTCACATGCCCGATACCGAACTTCAACTTGCCAGATGGGTGGAAGGACACGCCAGAGGAGTTGCGGTGAGTGGCACGCAGCGAGACATCGACCAAGACTGACAGCGGCCAGGTACCTATACCGCATAATCTTTTGCGCCGACGGAAACTACAGCCTCCAGAAGAAGACGAAGCAGGGGGACCCCAACGACATCGCACTAAGTACAGGACAAGGTTTCTTCATTCCGCACAGCAAGATGTACGCTGATCTGGACAAAAAGTACCACAAGAAAGGGAAGGGGAAACGCGAAGAGGAGGATGCGAAGGGCGAGAAAGGGAAAGGGAAAGGGACACAGGAGGATGTGAACGGCGATATTGTGAGTACTTTATTACTCAGAAGGTCGGGGATGTTTTAACTGATTGAGCACAGCCGATAACGTGCGACGCCTTCAAAGTGGTACGATCTCAGCGAACGGGGAAGTTCAAACACGTCGACGTGAGCGGAGTGTTGTCGTACTCCTGCGATCATATGCATTTTAGACCAGGCGCGACTGTGGATCTGCAGACGACGGAAACGTAAGGGATTGCTCAATGCGCTTGTCCATTGTGAGCGCTGACCGGCTTCGCAGGTGGGTGCACGGAGACTTCGGTCTCAATGGAGCTCTGGACGGCACCGAGGAGTTGGAGGAGCGAGCGATGTCGTACGACGTCGTCTGTAGCTACATATGCCACATCATCAAGAGATTCAAGACGTCACATCCGAAACACGTCGAGAGCATCCGGAAGCTCAAGATGCTGCTTCCGAAGCTGCACATGCACGCACACAAGGAGCTCTGTCAGGTGGTCTATGCGTTCTGCTATGCGCGAGGCTTCGGCCTGGCCCATGGGGAAGGCGTCGAGACGCCATGGGCGGAACTGAACGCTGCTGGTCTGTCCACCCGCGAGATGACTGCCGGTGCGCGACACGATGCGTTGGAGTCTCTGTTCAACTATTGGAACTGGCGGAAGACACAGCAAATGGGTGAGTATATCGCCGTGACAGCATCTGCATATGCAGCTAACTAACTGACCAGGTAAATTCCTCGCGCGCAAGCTCGAAGAGGCCTACAAGGCGCAGCGCAAGACAACGAGGTTTTTTGCGAACCTCACCGTGCATGCAGGACCGGCAAAGGTGGAGTCGTGGCTTCAGATCAAGGTGGACGACGATGCACCGACACCGACTACGTTTCGCAAAAAGACCAAAGAGTACGCGAAAAGCGTCTACCTCTTGAACCGAGCGGAGCGTACGTCGCTAGGACGCAAGGGCATGTGTGTGGCGACTGACATTGATCCTGTAGTTCCGAGCGTTGAGAAGGCACTGGATGAGCTAATGAATCCCACCAATCACGGTACCCAGCAGACGAAGGCGGCGGCGCGAATGCGTGGGCGAGCGGCCCTGTTTGTCAAGACCGGAATCGAATTGGACTTAGAGCAGTAAGTGGAACCGGATTGTGCGGACCGTATGTTAACGACATTGCGTAGGAAGCATCTGCGTTACATCCGTGATCAACGGGCGACGAAGGGCGAGATTCTGGACGACGGTCTGGAGGTCAGCATCACCGTAGAGTCTTTTCGCGACAAGCTGGGCAAATGGCGCGTGGCACAAACCAAGCTGATGCCCAATTGGGAGGAGCTGATAGCGCCAGACGGGGAATCGGCCGACGACGACGATGAAGAGGACGAGGAAAGGGAGCTCTCGAGCGTTTTAGGCCTGCCGTCCGATATCGAGGAGTGCGATCGCGCCGAGTATGAACTAAACAAGGTGGCGGATCACGAGCTGACGATCAGGGTCGGGTTGGCGTTCGACCAGCTGGACGGGGTACGGCTCGCAGTGCAGTATAGAGCTGCGCACCTGGAACACAAGAAGAAGAACGTGCGCGGGAAGAAGGCCAACGCGCAAGCCGAGATAGAAATTTCCCGGGCCGAGAAAAGGGCCCGCCTGCTTGGCTCGAGGTACAACGAAAACTTCTCGAGAATCGCGGCCCTACGGGGTACGAAGTACAAACGCGCCGAGGACACGACGCCGGGCAAATGGCTGCAAGCTATCAACCTCGATAAGGACCTCGCGATCTCCAGCATGGCGACACCACGTAGTCTGGGGGAGAGCACCCGGGTAGGCTCGTGGATATGGTCAGTTGGAGACCCTCCGGCGTCCTCCTCGGCGGCGACGACGAGAAGCGGCCAAGCCAAGGTTAACGCAGATAAGATATCTTTCGAGAGCGGTGCGCATGCCTTTACCCATTGTGTTTAATGTACGCTGAGGGGCTTGACCACAGCTGACATGGTGCAGTGGTTTCGGGCGAAGGCCGGGAAAGAGCGTGCCGACGAAGCCGTAAACAAGATATGTGCAGAGTTCCGCCGTACAGCGATGGCGTACGGCCAATACTCGGAAATGTGGCAGCATGGGGCCTCGAGCGCCACAGGAGGGGAGAGAGCCTACGCTCTGAAGACGGCGGCCATGTGGGCGCGAATGCAGCGGCAATGCACGGAGGAGTACGACGGGGCGCGTAGAGAGGGTGTGCCTCCGGACCGCTTGGATCACACGCGGGTGAGTGTCCATGCCCAGGTGTACGATGTTTGCTGATGCACGACGACTGGCGCAGCCAATTAGACCGTATGTAGAATTGCTCCTCGATGACCCAGTGCCATACGACAAGGTCCTGCGGAAAGTGGACCGGACCCTCGGTGCGGAATTTTGCAATCCACGTGTCAATGCATTCGGGAATGATCTGACTGTTTTGGGTTACGCAGATCGGAGTACACAGTGACATATGGACGCAAACACACGACAATACGCTTGCATAGCATTGTCAAGTGTCTGTTTGTGGTATCTAGATGAGGATGTCTATCTAGATGAGGATGTTGCCGAAGGATATTCAAGACAGGGTACTGATAATATTCATACACAGATTGCTACGCTTATCGTATTGTACATGTAGTTCTATCATACAGATCGTCTGCGGAGAGTGGTACATGGGAGTGATTCACGGGGGGAGGCTACGCTGGAGGGGCCCTAGAAGGCCGTGCTGTGGGAGGAGTGCGCGGTCCCGCGGGCCGTATGCGCGGGTCCGCCAGCTGCCGGGACATCGGGGTCGTCCCGGCAGCTGTCCTGGAGGACGAGGAGGGCGGGAGGATGGGGGCGGGCGGCGCCGAGACGCCGAGCGCGGCCGCGGGAGGCAGCCGCCGTCCTGAGGGAGGTGCGCGCGGTCCCGCGGGCCGTATGCGCGGGTCCGCCAGCTGCCGGGACATCGGGGTCGTCCCGGCAGCTGTTCTGGAGGGCGAGGAGGGCGAGGTGGCCGAGGAGGGCGGCGGGAGGGAGGAGGGCGGTGGGTGCGCGCTGGCGCGGGAATAGGCGCCCACCGCGGCCGCGGGAGGCTCCTCACGTCCTGGGGACGCTTGAGCGGTCCCC